TCCAAAATTCCCCGTTTTGCCATTCTATTATTAGGAGAATATAATCCGCGAAGAGGGATTCTGACTTTCAGGCGGGAAAATTGGGAGTTTCAAGATTTCTTGTTTTGCCATTTTATTATCAGGAGAATATAATTCGCGAAGAGGTATTCTGACTTTCAGGCGGGAAAATTCGGAGTTTCAAGATTTCTCGTTTTGCCATTCTATTATTAGGAGAATATAATCCGCGAAGAGGTATTCTGACTTCCATGCGGGAAAATTCGAAGTTTCAAGATTCCTCGTTTTGCCATTTTATCATCAGGAGAATATAATCCGCGAAGAGGTATTCAGACTTTCAGGCGAGAAGATTCGGAGTTTCAATATTCCGCGTTTTGCCATTTTATTATCAGGCGAATGTAATCCGCAAAGAGGTAACCTGACATCCAGGCCGGAAAGATCGAAGTTTCAAAATCCCCGTTTTGCCATTCTATTATTAGGAGAATATAATCCGCGAAGAGGTATTCTTTTTTTTTTTTTTTTTGATAACGCAGGAGAAACCCATCATGGGTACCCTCCGCCCCCTGGGAGGGGCAGAGGGTTATGTGAGACTCTTACTCACTAAAACTCCTGCGGGATGTCTACCAGTCGGACCGAGATGGGGGGATTTGGGGGAACTGCACCATCATTCCCTCCCCAACACCCCGGCCCCAGGGCTCTCACGGAGCCCCACGCCCAAGTACCGCACCCGTGTGGATCCTCTCCTCGAAGAAGGTCCGGGTGCGGTGCCCCGATCGGCTTGCCGATCGGGTTGGCCTTCCGGTACTTTATGGGAGAGAGGGGACATCCACCCTCCCTCCCCGCCCCCTCCTCGTGAGTGATTCCACTCCGGAGGAGGCGGGGGAGCGAGACCTTTTCCCAGAAGGCCCCGCTCCCCCTACCCTACCTCGTCGACGCCCGGTGGAGGGCGAGGGTGGGTTTACACCCCTCCCCCCGACAACCCTCCCCCGCGCGTCCGCATGCGGGCCCGAGGCGGCCGAGGAGGCGATCCTCGGTTGTCCGAAGATCGTTGCTCCTCCTCGGCTGGCGCCAGCTCGGGCCCGCTCCCTAAACCTGGGGAGGCCCGACCCCTCCGCCGTCTCCTAGGACGGTCGGAGGGGCGGCGCTCCCACTCGGCGGCCTCCTTCCGGGACATGATGTCCTTGCAGAAGGAGGCCGCCTCCCCCCACACCTCTTCGCTCCCGCACATGGCGCGAACCATGCGCGGGAGCGAGAGGGCCTCCACCCATGAAGACGTATTCTGACTTCCAGGTGGGAAAATTCGGAGTTTCAAGATTTCTCGTTTTGCCATTCTGTTATTAGGAGAATATAATCTGCGAAGAGGTATTCTGACTTCCAGGTGGGAAAATTCGGAGTTTCAAGATTTAGCGTTTTGCCATTCTATTATTAGGAGAATATAATTCGCGAAGAGGTATTTTGACTTTTAGGCAGTAAAATTCGGGGCTTCAAGATTTCTCGTTTTGCCATTCTGTTATTAGGAGAATATAATCCGCGAAGAGGTATTCTGACTTCCAGGCGGGAAAATTCAAAGTTTCAAGATTTCTCGTTTTGCCATTTTATTATCAGGAGAATATAATCCGCAAAGAGGTAACCTGACATCCAGGCCGGGAAATTCGAAGTTTCAAAATTCCCCGTTTTGCCACTTTATTATTAGGAGAATATAATCCGCAAAGAGGTAACCTGACATACAGGCAGGAAAATTCGGAGTTTCATGATTCCTCGTTTTGCCATTTTGTTATTAGGAGAATATAATCCGCAAAGAGGTAACCTGACAACGAGGCAGGAAAATTCGAAGTTTCAAAATTCCCTGTTTTGCCATTTTATTATTAGGAGAATATAATCCGCGAAGAGGTATTCTAACTTCCAGGCGAGAAAATTCGGAGTTTCAAGATTTTTCGTTTTGCCATTCTATTATTAGGAGAATATTATCCGCGAAGAGGTATTCAGACTTTCAGGCGAGAAGATTCGGAGTTTCAAGATTTCTCGTTTTGCCATTTTATTATCAGGAGAATATAATCCGCGAAGATGTATTCTGACTTCCAGGCGAGAAAATTCGGAGTTTCAATATTCCTCGTTTTGCCATTCTATTATCAGGAGAATATAATCCGCAAAGAGGTATTGTGACTTCCAGGCGGGAAAATTCGGAGTTTCAAGATTTCGCGTTTTGCCATTCTATTATTAAGAGAATATAATTCGCGAAGAGGTATTCTGACTTTTAGGCAGGAAAATTCGGAGTTTCAAGATTCCCCGTTTTGCCATTCTATTATCAGGAGAATATAATCCGCGAAGAGGTATTCTGACTTTTAGGCGGGAAAATTCGGATTTTCAAGATTTCTCGTTTTGCCATTTTATTATCAGGAGAATATAATCCGCAAAGAGGTAACCTGTCTTCCAGGCAGGAAAATTCGAAGTTTCAAAATTCCCCGGAGGGGAATATAATTCCTAAAGAAGTAATCTGACTTTCAGGCGGAAAAATTCGTAGTTTCAAGATTTCCCATTTTGCTCACTTTATTATCAGGAGAATATAATCCACTAGGAAGATGCTTTTTCTGCTCGTGATGTTCTTGCATGTATCTTTTTATCTTACCGAATTGTACGACTGACTTCTCGGAGTTTTGCGAATGGATCGAACAGGCTAGTTCCGTTGAAATCCACACAAGTGTTCTTACCTGGAACTGTTCGAACGGTTCAATCCCACGAATCTTTCGCGTCCGAGTTCTGCTTTCGCGTGTCCGAGCAAAGCTATAATTTTCCTCGACTCGGCTGGTCGTCCCGGCTTGCGAAGGGCTTGCCGAAAGTTTCCACCTTACGAAGGTAACAAATTAGTGAGCCTCCGATCTTGACGGATCCGCGGACCGATCCGTGATGCGAATCACCGGAGATAAATGCGGATCACCGGAGATAGATTCTTGGTGAAGAATCATTTTGCATTTTAATGATACTTGAAAAACATCGTACATCATGATGATGATGTACGCCGCTTCAAATATAGTCATTTCCTCGGCAATGAAAGACAATAAAATGGCAACATTAGTTGAGTCACCTTAATGAATACTCATATCGGTATTTTGTACAATTTTAATGTAATGCGACAATTACAAAAGAAATCATTGAGAGAACGTCGAGCAAGTCAAGTGAGATCGATTTAGGTCTCCCACTAATAAAATCGTGTATTCGAAACACTACACTCTCAACTAAATTTCTCATATCTTACACCTGATTTAATTCAATCGATTCGAATGGAAGCACGCTCGTTCTTCGCACACATATCCGTGCATACACATCCGACGACAGTCCACGACGTCTCACTCGTGCAGTTAACGAAGTTTCCCTCCGGAAACAACGAGACGTAACACACCGGGGCGTCTATCCGGTCGATCAGTTTTTGTCGAGCTACGTGAACGCGCGCCTGCATCACAATCGAGCCTGAAATATACACGGTGGTACCGGGCGGTAACTCATACATTACCGGGTGGCCGGCTTTTTATTGCTCGTGCGCCGGTGCCGCGCCAATGCCGGTTTGCTTTCACTTTATCGCCCGTGAAATCCAGCCGTCCTGCCGGCGGGACAATATTTCCAGAGTGCCCTCGAAAAAAGAGTGTACGTGCAAAATTCAGCATCGGCCCGTTGGCTGGCTAGCTGGCTGGCTGGCTGGCTGATTCGAGTCGAAGTCTCGTAATCGGACCGAACGTCGACGTGGGCGAAAAAGCGCGCTGACCGACATTTTCGATGAAATTCACGATTTATTCGCGCTTTCCTTCTTTCTCCTTCTTTCTCTCGTATCGTAAATTACACGCACGATAAAAAACGAACGTGCATCCTTCAAGAATCGATTTCGCGTCTCTGATAGCTGATAAGATATTATTCGTCAATTTTTTAATCGGGGAATAGTTAGTATCGCGCAGTTTGATACGCACGCGGAGACGTGGGAAAACGATGCATCGGCTTTTCGATTTTGGTCAATGTGACTGAAAGAGTTATTTGAGAGAGAAAGGCTCTCTCCACCCGGGCTTAGAAACATGAACTGATCAAAGGAATCACTCGATCGTATTAGGTATACTAAATAAATTCTCTGTGTTTTTTGATAAAATTCAAGTTTATTGAAAACATACTTGTTACAATGCTTAATAATTGAAATATTCATCATCGCTATCTATGGTCTTTTGCCACTTATCGGGTTGCTTACGGATGCCCTCGCGGTAGAAACTTGGTGGTTTCATGTCATGAAGCAAAATCACTTTTCGAGTTCCTTTGCCCGTAAATATTCTCTTTTCCTCAAGCGCGTCTCTTAGTTTGACTAGCTGGGCTTGATATCGTTCAGATGTAGCAATTTCACCAGGTTTCAGAAGTTTGTAGTGAATGATTCCCTTCCAATCCCATTAAACGCCCAACACCAACATTTTTCGCACGAAATCTCGCAAATCACTTTCTAACTGTTTCATAACCTATTGCGTTTTCACCCGAAACCAACTTAATCACCTTAGTAGCTCCAGCTGCATTTTCTTCCAGTTTAAAACAAAATAACATATAGTGCCGTAAATGTTGCTTGTTGACATTCATCTCTTTACATTTGGATACACACTGAACGACAGAGCTTGTAAACAACTGAAACCTATATCGTGTAAACACGAATGTCAGAGCTACGTATACAAGATGGCGGGAGAAATGAGTTTCAGTACGTTTTATAAAGCAACCAATTTCAACATAGAGAACTTATTTGCACACCTAATAATTCGGTCCCGTTTCGCTAGCCGTAACCCCTAATGGAGACGTTCGGACGTCGCCACTTGAAATTCACTTTTCATCCCCGGGACTTCGGTGATTCTTCTTACGCGTAATGTCGACCAGTTTCCTCGATGAAATTTCGCTGAACAAAGTCTCCGGAGTGAACGTTCCGCCGAGTTCCCCACCAGCAGGGCCCCACACCAAAACCCTTGAGACATAAAGAAACCACTCACGTGTTGCAGGGAGCCTGGAGATCTGCTCGCACGCGAATGCCGCCCGGCGCGTCATCATGGTGCTGAGCCCCGCGTCCTTGGACAACGTCTGGACGGACGCGAGCGTCGCGGGGGTGCTGAAGCAGCTGTCGGTGCTGCCGGCGCGCACGATCGTGGTTGCGCTGCAGAGCATGCCGGGCACCACGGCGACGATCGCGAAACGATCGCGACGAGAGCGCGGCGACGGCATCCTGGACGGCAGAGTCTTCTTCGATCACCTGACGGTCCTGCGCTGGAAGGACGGCGCCGACGGCGGCGACGGCGGCCGCGAGTTCTGGTACAAACTGCGGCTGGCGATGCCGGCGATACGGCCGGTCGCGTCCGAGACCGGCTGCCAATCGGTGGCGATGATAGTGCAGGCCAATGGTAAATGCGGTCAGCAAAAGGCACGCTCGCGCGAGAGCCTCGAGGTCCTCGTTTAGGGCCGCGCGTTCTCGCCGCCACGCCATCGCCATCACGCCATTGCCGTCGCCGTCGCGCCACCACTGATCACTGCCGGAACCTGCGGACGAAGGGGAAACTTCCCTCCTTGCACCTGTTCGCCGGAAGCCGCGAGAAGGAGACCGACGATCCCCGCGGCTTCTCTGCGTGAGAACTTTTACGCGTCCTGACCTTGAGAGCTCCCTCTTCCTTCCTTGCCCATCCCCCGAGGGCAACGCTTCAACTTGAGTGTCCTGCGGCCGGATGATCCCCCTCCGTCCCTAACGACGATTCTTCTTCGCCTTTCCTTCGCTTTTCTTTCCCGGGACAAACGCGAAACCGACGATTCGAACGATCTCTTGACGATCACGGCGACGACGACAAGGCTCCGCTGGGTGGCGCGCGAGGAGAGGGTCCTATGAGTACAGGCGAATCCTCGTGTCCTTGATACTTCGACTTCCGCACGGATCGCGGCTTGGCCTGGATCCGAATGATTGAAATTTGAGACGCGAGAGCTTCTTAAAGCGCTAATCCCAAAAAAGCCGTTTCGCTCTCCGTATATATATCTTCATCAACATTGATCCCCCTCCCTCGTTCTCAGTTTTCAACCCGCCCCCCCCCCCTCATTTCCTTCACATTATCGCCCTGTCGTTTTCCGCCCCCGGCTTCGACATCGAGCTTGTATCTGGAACTTTTATCTCTCCATCTCGGACTTGTAAGTCTGATCTTCGGTCCGACGACCCGATGATCTTGCGGAAGAACGAGCTGCGTCCTTGATGTCGATTTCCAGCAGGCGTGCACGCCTTCGAACGAATCGCGCAAGCGAAGAACGCGCACGAGAATGACGCTGTGCTGAAAGGCCTACGTTGAAATCGAGGTGCACAAACGATCTTTCCTTCGATTCTCGCGGTTCGAATTATCGCGTGAGACATATGTACAGACGAGGAAGAGAGAGAGAGAGAGAGAGAGAGAGAGGGAGAGGTACTCCGCGACAAAGAGCGTTCTCATGTCGCGACTGATTTCCTCGCGAATCGCGTCGTCGTGGACGGAGAGCAAATTCGATCGCGAAGTCGACTCCAGAGAGAAAGCTAATGAGGAATCAGGGCGACAAGGCGACGGGCGAGGGGAAGGACGGCTGTTTGTTTAATAACAACTCTCGCTCGGTCGTTTCGAACGTTGCGCTTCGCGATGACGGTGTTTTTATCGGCCGTGTGGAGACTTGCAAATATTACACTGCAAATAATACACAGCAGGGATTTGCGAGCAGATATTTTGTGAATTTTTTGGGGTGAAATCTCGTCCGAGACGAGTGAGAAGCGGCGGTGCTTTCGCTCCGAAGCGATAGCGAAAATACTGCCTCTCGCGAAATCACAAGAGTGACTGTTTCACTGAAACCGAGAGGGGATTCTGACTCCATATGAGCGGATATTTCGATCGATCCGAGCGAACGCATTATACTCATTCTTCAACTTCGAGTGAAAGTACTTACTTATTGAGAATGAAGGATTCGCTCCATATAAGTAAAGAATCGCTCGAATTCGAGTGAAGTGCCGCGTGACCACTCTCCTTTTTCAGCGAAATTTCGCTCCGAGAAACTTGGGCAGCAGATATTAAGCGCACGGTGAGGGAAAGAGAGAGAGAGAGAGAGAGAGAGAGAGAGAGAGAGAGAGAGAGAGAGAGGGAGAGAGAGAGAGAGAGAGAGAGAGAGAGAGAGAGATATTCTCTCTTGGTCAGGAGACAAGCGACGGTTGGAAGGAGGGAGGGGGGATGTTTAATTCTCGGATCCTCGGAGATGTATGCGCCGATCCTGCGAGTAAAAAGACTGAGGGCGGTGAGGCGGTGTGATTGCGCGCAACAAGCAGTTGAATGTACAATTCTTCGCGCGATTTTCAAAGCAGGACAGAACAAAGACGAGGAAGAGAAAAGAAAGAGAGAGAAGAAACGGACAGGGCAGAGAGAAGAAAGAGAGAGAGAAGCGTGAAAGAGGAGAATTCGAATATGCTTTCCGCGATCGACGATCGGTTCGCTCATCCGAGCATTCCAACCGTTCCGAGAGAGGACGAGAAGTCGAAAGACGGAAAAATGCGCAGTCTTCCTTTCCGCGAACGTGACGAGTGTTTGATTAGCGACGTGTCGTTATCACATCGGCACTGCGCTGTCGCCGTGTCGTGTCCTCTTTTCAACTTGCCACTCTACTTTGTACATATCGCAAATCTGTATATTTATTTAACTAGACGCGTTATTTATGCAATTCCTTTCGTTGCGTAAGTTGCAGAATTCCCGCAAAAAAAATCCTTTAATCGTGGCGCGAAGGTGACTCTCTCGCGCGATTTCGCGCTTCGGCTCTCGGCTCCGCAAGAGCGCCGCCGGAAACCCGCCGAGGAGACCTCGCGCCATTTTTTTTCCTCCGTTTATTTTTCTTTTCTTAAGTGCGTCGAGGGACGTTTGTATTCATATATATTTTATATTTATATATAGACACGCGAATATATATTCGACGCTGATTTGCAGCGTGTAGCTTCGGATGTACGGAGCGCGAAGAAGGGGGGAAAGTAGAGACAGAAAGAGAGAGAAAGATAGGGATAGGAGGAAGAAGTCGCTGCACCGTCGCGTTTTACTTAATGGATCATGTAAACGCTGGTTAAAGGGTTATCCGATTGCACACGCCCAATACACACACACACACACACACACACACACACACACACACACACACACACACACACACACACACACACACACACATACACACACACACACACACACACACACAAACACAGCGCGACGCGACGCAATCACGATGAGATTGCGTTTCGTGGAGCACCTCGCGTTCCGTCTCGCGCGCGCACGCGACGGGAAATCTCTTCTAAAATCCGGTTTATCGGACGCCGAGCGATAACGGCGCGAGCGATCTCGCCGGATATTGTTCGACGCGACGACCGGACACGTCAGCTGCCTCGGTGCGTTAATACATAAGCGTTTTATACCGTTTTATATACGAACATACGTGTGAAGCATAGACGGAGACTGTCTGTCGTGTCGCTGGTGTCGCTCCTTGTGTGCGACACGATGCACCCGCACAATCGGTAGATGTTGCTTGAACCATTGTTGCAGCAATTCGTTCCCCGGTGGGAGAAGCTTCCCGGAGATCCTTCTTTCCTCTTCGGATACTTTCTGTTACGTATATTAAGTAGGGAGGGAAAGAGGGAAAGAGAGAGAGAGAAACAAGTTGTCTCGCTCACGTTCAGTCAAATGCTCGAAGTTTCGGAGTCGCAAATAAGATTCTGCAAATTCAATTTGTCTTAGTTCCCCTTTGATTCGTTGATTTCTTTTTTTACTCCTCTTACAACGCGCGCGTGACGAAAGTTTCGTTTTTAAACCCGCGGACTACTGGACTGTTATTCCAGGTTTCTGGCGTTTTATAATAAATGACGATAATTAAATTAAATCCGTTTTTAAATCCGTGAATTTTGAATTCATTATTCTTGTGTAAATTGTATATTTGTAGAAGTTCGATACTTTTGTCGTGTTTCGTTTACATTATACGCTTCGTTGCATTTCGAACGTATACGTAACACGTTATTGATACAAAATTGGAACACCTCTGTGGTTGAAACTGTAGCTTCTAAATGTTTGTCTAAATTCACGCTTTAAGAACTTCGCGTTCTCAGAGAATCTAAATTTAAGAATCTGCGGTTAGAATTATAAGTTAATTTTCACATGTAGACGCGAATTTTCGTGGATCTCAAGGATCGATCTTTCAACTGGGAGGACGACTCGCTCGAACGATTTTATCGAACGCGGAAGTACAATATAATGTGAACGGCGTGAACGATGAATTGAATATCGGGTATCTGTCGCAATTACACGCCTAAATTAATCACTTTGCGACTTACCTACGACGGTCGGTCCCACTCCGGGAAATTGAATTGAGCGCACCGCACAAAATCCAGAGAAGTATGTTCGCGTAGGTGATACCAAGGAAAAGCGACGGTAACAATAAGAATAAAGCGCGTAGAGAGTAAGTGTTAACTGTAATTATAACCGTAACAGTGGCTGTAATTGTAACTTAGAGAGACGATTGAACTGTCACTCAGTGAATGGGACGGAGGGGGAGAGGAAGTGAACTTAATTTTTAACATTTATAGCGATTATTCTCTTTACTGTCAGTATTACGACACACTAGTGTACTCGTCTCGCCGGGATGCCAGCAAGGATCATTTGCTAGGATAATCGCGAGCCGAGTAAGCAGAGTATAGATATTAGAACTACGTCGCGAACGGCGCGTCTCGAAAAGGGACTTTCTTAATCTTATATCCTGAGAATTGTAGAAACATTATTACAGAAAAGAATTACGTTGCATGCGATTATGTTGAATGAGAACAATATCGTTAAAATTGAGTAATAATTTCTCAGGATTACAAAGAACATTTCTCTCGAAAACAGAATTAAGTTATTATTGAAATATAAATTTGTATCCAGATGAAGAGAGAGAGAGAGGGGGAAAGGAAAGAGATATTTTGTCTTCAAGAAATTAAGGAATTGATTAATTAATTCTTTGCTTAAATATCGAAGTATTTGAGAAATTTATACATTTGGATGGTGGTGCATCTCGCAATGAAATAAAATCTACAAATATTTTCGAAAACAAAGAACTTATTTTTTAACTTTCCTATATTAAAAAAGGTATATATTTTATATATATATGTTTCACATATATATCTTTACATATATATCTTTTTAATATGAAGTTACCTTTTACTTTTATTAGATATAAATTCTATTTATATTTCGTATATTAAATTTTCTATTTTTATATTATATTTAAATATTTTAAAATATATCTCTCCTCGCACAAGAATATAACATGGAATTAATAAACTTGATGATAAGTATAATGTGACTTATATACACATGTATATTTAACGGGTACGATGAATACAAAAATTAGCGATGCGGTTCGATCGTATAAAATGACGATGATTTCGTATCAATTAATTGCATCAACTAGGTGCAATGCATTCTTGCAAGTGAAATGCATCAAATATTTTTGGCCTCTTACCAAGTCGCTAACACGATTATCTATCCTATTTATTTTGAAACTAATAATGTAAAAATATTATTCACCTTAACCTCTCTCTCTTTCTCTCTCTTGGGAGTCTAATTCGAGGAGAGAAACCTTCTTAACTTGGCAGACTCAACGATATACGGATCTCTTTCAGAGAAGAGTCGTTCGTTCGTTTTATTTTTGTAATTTTTTCTTATCGGTCCTATCGTTTGTTCTTCACTATTGATAAGACGATTTTTCACGGACGCGTCTTTCGACGAGTAATTTATCGATTCGATTGATTGATCTTTCTATTGACAATAAACTGTAAAGACATAGTGCCGCGATTCGTCCGTTTTCTTTCTCTTTCTTTTTTGTTACTATAGCTAGTTTTATCGAGGACGACAGAATAAATTGGGATCATATATTATTATTATTATTATTATTATTATTATTATTATTATTATTATTATTACTACTATTGATATTATTATTATTATTATACAGCGTGTAATTTTAGATAAATGTTTATCCATATCCTATCATATGTATGCGCGCACGTTGGATTGATTGATTGATTGGTTGAATGATTGATTGATTGATTGGTCGGTCGATTGTGCGACCGACGCGACGGTGTGAGTAATTAAGGTAAACAAAAAAAAAACAATAAAAAGATAAATAAAAATGAAGAAAAGGAAGTCGTTCTTACGCGTCCCGAAACAGACGCGCGTAATTGTTCATAGCGAGGCGAGGGTGTCGTGACGTAAGGATAATTCTTTGTATATGCTGTATATCCAGGTCTTGCCTAATAGGACGACCAAGACAACGGTAGTTGTAAGCGATTTTTAAGGGACTTCTCGAGATCGCGGTAATTCACGGAGATACATCGCTGCCCGCCCCCCGCCCACACCGATTGATTTTATCCCCCCCTCTCATGCCACGGTAGCGACCTATGGTCGGCTCGCGCGACTTCGATAATTGATGTTCAATTGTCGAAATTAATTAATTAATTACTTTGCCGATAATTAATTAATTTTGATGCGACTTAATTTATTGACTCCGCCCGCGCCCGTGCTTCACTTCGCCGACGAGCGGTGTATTTTTTCAATGACGTGAGGATATAATAGACATCGCGTGTATTTTGGTAAACGAAGTGAAATATGAAGTATATCAATCGTGCGCACACCTGCGACACACAGGGACGAGCAGCTTGCGTGTGTTTACTCGCAACCTCACATCCGACGCACCGCGAGGTTCTTCGCAGCTTCTCCGTTTGTGTCTCCCAGGTGCGACGTCCGGTTTGTTCGATCCTTCTGATCTTGTTACATCTCGTCGGGCTTCTCGCGACGATAACTTTAACTTATTGATCATTTATACTGTTCGTTTATACTGTTGTACCTTGACCTCTGATAGCTCGGTGTATGTTTTAAGTATGAAAAATAAAAATCTATGCACCTCTCAACACGCAGCGTGATATAAATTCCTGTCACACATATATATATGTCTTCGTGCGCGAAGGAATGAAGGATTCCTTTCTTTTATTCTCTTTCTTTTAATGAACCATCGTTATCGCCATGACGCATCAATTAACACGTAACTACGGTGACTTGAGTAAATGACGGAATAAAGTAATCGGAATGACAATCATTGGTGGGGATTTTTCTGATCGGCGATGTAACGCAAACAAAAGGGGAGAATATGAAATAGAGATAAAAAAGGGAAAGAGGGAGAGGAGGGAGAGACAGACGCGCAACGAGCTATTAGTATAAATAATTCTTTGTATTTTGTATTTTCCACTTACAATGATTTCGTTACATAGGCACTTGTACCTTGTAAAGTACTTGTAATAATTCAATCTATCTTTCATCTAAAAGTACAACGCATCTATCTAAGTAATAAATATTGATTAACGACGATTACGGCGATTACAAGCTTCGTATACAGGATATATACGCGCGCGGTCACTACGCGCTCCGTTTTCTTTTCTTTTTTTTTGTCCTTTGATCCTTTTAATGCTATATCGGCATACCAGCGACTTTGCACATAAAACTGTATCGAATCACCGTCGTTCCGATCGTTGATTTGACATCACTGTATGCTTCGATATATGGTACGTAAGTATGCTACGGCACAATGATGGTATTGTTTCCAGACATAATTAGCGGTGTATAATAAAAACAAAGCATACTGGAGATACATATGTCGCACATACATACTATACTACTATGAATATATATATATATATTTTTATATATATATATGTGTATGTAATATATATATATATATATATTATATACAAGATGCTGCAAAGGTTGGGGCCAAACTCACACTACGTGTTAATAAAATCAAGTAGGTGAAAAAAGTTCATACAAAATTATGTCCTGAAATATCTGATTAAAAAGTTACAAGCGTCATAAAACGTTTAAAAGTTAGGTATGAAACGTTATAAAATGTTATGAGACGCACAAGTTATGGAGGCGCTCAAAGATTTATAAAAAGGATTTTTTTTCATAATTTGTTATACGGAATCGTTGATTCGAGACAGTTTACGCTATTCCGCGAGAAGTTCAAAATGCAAAATGCATAAAAAATTGGCCTTCTGTTTCTCTGTATCAGATAGCTGTATCAGATGCAGTTATCTGTATCAGATTCTCATAAACCGACCGTTTTGCGTGATCCCATAAATAGAAGATCAAGAGACATTAAATCCAGGGTAGAGAAAGTAGAGCTCCGCTTGTAAATCTTCGAAGGTTTATAATTTTTTAATAAAGCATTGTTCGACGTACGTTTATGCGAACTTTCTCACCTCCTTAACACATTATGTAAGTTTAATCTGGATTTTTGCGGACACTGTACACATATATAAATATATATAAATATATGCATAGATATATACCGCAGCTGTTTAAGCTACATCTCTTTTATTTGGACAGCTCGAACGTTCAAGTGGCCGATCGGACTCGCTGCTGTACTCGGTGGTACCAATATTAAAGGAGAGATCGTTGCGCTCGTAAGCTCTGCGCTCGATCGTGATCACGGTTGTCCGTCCGACGTGTGATCGAAGGATGCGTGATAAAGTACTGGAGGATCGTACTCGAGATCACTTTTCCGTCTCGCTCTCACCTGCCCGATGCAGCGTGTGTGTGTGTGTGTGTGTGTGTGTGTGTGTGTGTGTGTGTGTGTGTGTGTGTATGAAAATGTCAAAAGCCGTAGACAAATTCGCTAAATCTACCCGCGGTGCGTTGTATAGTGTGTCGCGTTTTTCTCCCTTCCTCCCTTTTCTCTTTTCTTGCGCAACTACGAAACGCGATCGACGTATAAAAAATGTTTGCGCTAAGTACTTTGGCGCGCCTCTCGTCCTCTCGTCTGTTGGTTGTTTGCTTGTTTCTCCCCTCTTTTTTGATTCTGCATTATTTACACGACGAAAGTTCGAGTATATGCGAAGCTTCCGCTTAACGTTAAAGATACGACGACGGTAACAACCAATGTAGAAGCGACGACGACATAACGGTACGGTAGTAACTAGTGAGGTAATAAAAAAAAAAAGAAAAAAAAGGAAAGAAAAAAAACAGGGAATTTAGACGCAACGCACGAATCGCGCTCTTAAGTGTTCGCGCGTGATCTAACGATAAGTATCTCGCTTTTACCGCTTTTATTATTACGGAGGCACACTTGAATATCTCTCTACTTCCTTCTCCCTATTTTCTTTTGGTCTCGCTTGTACTTGTAGCACCAGTTCGTAATAAACGGCAGGAACATTGTAAATACTCGCGGGAAAAACGGCGCGAATGCACACTCTCGCCGGATATACACGGGGTGACCTGTGGGTGGTGAAAGAAAGAAAGAAAAAAAAAAAGAAAAAAGAGAGAAAAAAAGAAAGGAACGACCGGACCACCCGCTGGCAGTGATGTACGACGAATTATGGACCCGCTACGTCGCGACGTTTAACCGCGACGTTTTCGCCGGACACCCGTGTATACCGCGTAGTATATATATGTATATATAGAGCATACGTCTGTATGTGTGTTTGTGTATATATATATACCTATAAAAGTGGCGTAGAATCCTCCCTTCCTGTATCATTTAACGTTAAGTACGTCCATGTTGAGCTGTCAGCTCATCAACGATCCTGTATGCGGTGCTCGAGTTATCGAGGATCAATCGAATCTCTCAAGAATTAATTCTCGCCTATTGATCGTGATGCAACTCCTCACAGGATTACCGAGGATTATCGAGAGCCCTGGGAGTTGATTAGATTATCCCGGACTCCATAAAATCCCGCCTGTATGATCCCGCCTGTTGTGTCCTTTCTTCTCTTTTTCTCCCGGATCAGGACTTGTGACTGTTATAGCTGTGTAAATTCGTAGGAAATACCATAGGCCCTTTTGTAGTCGCTTGCGTTTATCGTCCTTTATCCTTTTTTTTTCGTGCAAGTTTTTAATCGTTATCTCCTTCGACTTGCGTAATTATTTTTCTCTTTTTTTGTTACTAAAGCGAAATTATCCCTGGTCATAAATAAGTAAAGAAGTCCTTCAAAAGTGTTTATATATATATATATGTACTACGTTCCCCGACGAGTCCTGACTGATATCCCGAAAGCATTCACGACAGCTGATGGTGTGAATCGTTGGGGAGATCTCCAGTGATCCAACGAATGGAAACTTCCCGTCGGAATCTGAGAGTTTGATTGATACATAAAAACGACGTAATAATACTGTTACCGTAGACGCGCCGATCGGCGACAGCCTTCTTTCTTTTCTTCTCCGCTCCTTTTTCCTTTTCCTCCCCTTCATCCATTCGAGAAACTCTCGCTAGATATGTAATATATATCGGCGGCGATAACGGCGCTGCGAAGTGACTGAGAATTCCATGATACACTAATTAAAAAGGACAACGACGAAACAATAAGAAAAATTATAAGACTAACTACAAGACAAGACTGCGTGCAGCTCGTAAATACGATGATTAATCATTAAATTGCCATCCCCTTCTCTTAAGGAAGGCCTCCTAGGGCAGGCCTCTCATCGCTCCTAGATATTCCTGTCCTCCCGGCGCTTCCAATCCCTTGGGACCCCCGAATTAATCTCGGATCCTGTGAAATCCTCGTGTTCGACAGGACACAATTGAGAAACGTGCCACGTCGCACATTTTCATCCTCGACTTTCGCGAACATTTCGACTACCTGTGAAACTGCGAAACGTTGGGCTTCTTCACTCCCCACCGCTCCTTGCAAATCTTGCACGATTTTCGTATTATTTTTCTTTTCCTCTTCTCTTGTTGTTTTCTCACTTTTCGTATACTGCTACACGTCCTCGTGGAAAGTTGGAGCCCGGCCTTCCGGAAATTCCTAGCCGATCGGTTTGCAGGAGCGATTCGCGCGAAACTTCCACTTCGGCTACCGAGACGGTACACTGTGATATCTGTCGCACGCGATTAAATAATTAGCCACGTAGGTACGTTAATCAGAGCGTCGTGGAAGCTCGATTGCGGTAGCTGCTGCTGGCGACGCCGGCCAGGGCCTCCGCCATCGCCTTGCCGGTCTCGTTCACCATGCTCTTGAGGTAGCCGGTCTCCTTCTGCAGCAGCAGGTGAGGATGGTCGAATTCCTATCGCAGGAAAGGAGATCCGTTTTGAGGAGCGAACTCGCGATTTACGATCCACTCTCGTTACGAGGGCTGTATTTTCCCCGATGAGATATACCTCGACGTGCGCAAGTGGCAGTTCGATAAAATATTTACGATTTACGCGGGACATGATGGAAATACAGTCGCTTTTCGTCGCACATTCGCGACGGTCCGTATATCGCAAAACAGAGACGGAGGGGACACGGTCGACTGCTTCGGACATTTCCGTTTTGGAAGTAATTAGAAATTGCCGAAGCACGCGAGAAACACGATTTGCGTGATAGAGCCAAGTAGAAAAAATGTAATATTATGTAATAAAAATAATAAAACGAATGATCTGTTCTACGCAATTGAATATCAAACTTTCACAAACATGAGAATACAGAATTATAAAAGAGAAAAGAAATGGATTAATTTATCTATCATTTTACTCGGAATAAAAAGAATTTCACTGCTGCAAAAATAATAATAACGAGATGGTTTGAAAAGCATTTTAAAGCTTGAAATTTCTAGTTTCTAAATCGATTTTTAAATATGATTAATACTAATATACTAATTCTTTTATTATATTGCGTGAATGTAAACGGAAACTGTCGAGTGTCAAACATTTTCATTTGTTGAAGTTTGTCATGTTGCACTGCGCACATAAAATTCCTACATAAATGACATTCAAACCGTTTGAAAGCACAAACCCTTTAATTTGCATATATGCAAATTGCGGAGCGATTTTTTCTCGAAATTATTCAATGTTGAAGCAAAGAGCGTTCTTCAGTTTTGACCGCGCACAGAAAGCGAACGAATCAATGTGCAATATTCGTTCGAAACTAGAGAGCTGAAAATTATCTCTTTAAAATACATTCGTTGCAATTTTGATATATATAAATTTTGAGTATAAAAACTTCATTAAAAAATATAAAGTAGAAAGAAAACTTCAATCACCGTCATTTCTCATTAAACTTGGTTTTTTCAGAGATGAAAGCAACGTTGGAAATTTAAAGTGATCAAAACTCTGAAAAACTGGAAACTTCAAGCTTGAAAATGCTTCTCGAACTATCATATGTTATCGTTATTTTTGTCGAAGTTACAAGATGTTAAATTTTACGTATTTCTCACGATGGGATAGAAGCACGTCTAATTGTTGGCTCATACTGTTACCTCGATTCCTCGTTTAGGTCACTAGCGACTCGTAGCGGAAATGTTGGAACTACATTTTGAAAAATAATTTTTGAAGAAACCCTCAGCTGACAAACTACCTATTGTTGTTCGAGTCTTGGCTAAATGTTATCGGCTTGGCTAAATTATGGTTCTAGTCTTGACTAGATATTATTGGGGAACAATACAACGTGGTTTGAATCTTGGCTAAATATCACAAGAATCAATATAGTATGGCTCAGTAAAATGTTATAAGGATTAATATAATGTAAAAGAACCCCCTAATTAATTGCAATTCGAATTTTGGCTAAATAAAGTAAAAGTCTTAGCTAAGACAACTTTTAGTTCCGATATCTCCGCTACGAGGCGTCACTATACTAAATGATTCGAGAAAGTAGTACAACTCAACGGCAAGTCAGACGTACTTTTACGCGAAAGTGAAAAAAAAAACGTAAACTTTAATTGTAACTTTAACCATCTCGTTATCCTTGGTTTTACAGAAATTACAATCCATTAAACTTCGCTGATTTCTCGTAATAGAAAAAATCATTTTTTCAATTAGTGTATGTTAGTAATATATAATCTGTATGCATACACCTACAAATTAAAACAAGTCATAGAAATGACAAGTGACCACTTGAAACGATCTATACAACAGTACCACGAATACAGCCCAAAGAGAAATACCATAAAAGAAAAGGACTCACCACCGCACTGCCGGCGTCCATCACCAAGATACGATCGCTGTCCATCACAGTGTTGAGCCTGTGGGCGATCGTGAGCACTGTGCAATTCTCGAATTTCCTGCGGATGGTTCTCTGGATCAACTCGTCGGTGCGCGGGTCCACGTTCGCGGTGGCCTCGTCCAGCACGAGTATTGGATTGTTGCGCACGATGGAGCGTGCCAGACAAACCAACTGCCGCTGACCGACGCTGAGATTGGAGCCGCCCTCGTTGACGTGCGCTTCCAGGCCCATTTCTTTCAATTCAACTTCCTCGAGTGCTCGCCATAGCACGTCGTCCGGGTACGTGTCAAAGGGATCAAGATTGCGACGCAGAGTGCCGGAAAAGAGGAACGGCTCTTGCGGGATGATACTGATCTTGCAACGCAGGTCGTGCAGACCAATGGTGCTGGTGTCGATGCCATCGATCTCGATCGGACCCTCCACGTCGGCCAGACGGAAAAGCGCTGAGATGAGAGAAGATTTCCCAGCGCCGGTGCGGCCAACGATGCCCACCTTCTCGTGCGGGTGGATGACGAAGTTGAGGTTTTTCAGCACGGGCGGCTCCAGCGGCGCGTAACGCAACCACACGCCCTTGAATTCTACCTTGCCTTTTTGCGGCCAGTCTTCTTTCGGTTTCTTATCGGGAGCGCTCTCGAGAGGAGGTTCGCTATTTATCTTGCTGTAAAGAAGTAGCAAAAATTTCAAAAATATTAATAAGACGTTTACTTGGTGTTTGAATGAAGCTACAATGAAAACTGATTACAACTAAAACCTATGAGAACTAAGTAGGCTTTAATTATTACTATCGTTCGGTTCTCATAAATCTTGATTGCATATAATTGTGTATTATTACATTTAGAAATTATATTTGATTATAATCTGTAAGAAAACTTTATTAAGTTTTAGTTAATTATAAAGAAAATTGTGATGTAATCGGAAGGACATCTAAGAAATTTATCAGAAATTTCCAATACAATTTTCATACACAGATCTTCTAAATTATGAATTTCTTAAATCAAGGGATTATATAATTTACGTTACCTGTATTCGAGGACACGTTCCACTGATGTCATTTGATTCTCGAGCTCGGCGCTCTGCCTCATGCCCCACTGGAACATTCCTGTGAGGCCGATGCTTTGAGTGATCGCCAGGCCTACCCTGCCGCCGTCCATCGAGCCGGGACCGTCGTTATCTAGCACGAGAAAACTCAGAGTGACCAACGCAATATATATCACGCAGAAAACGTCCAGCCAGAAACCAAACGCTCGCGAGGAGGCGATGAAGATGTACCACGCGGACGAATGGAGATCCTGGTGACGATCGAACTCTTTCGTGAGGATTTCCGCCGCCCCAAAGGCACGAATTGTTGGCAGTCCTTGCAAAGTCGCGCTCAAATGAGCGAAGACCGGCGAACGTGCTGAGGAAAGATCGAATATTAAATTATTAAGAGAGAACATAATTTATCACAAAAGTATGATTTATATATTGAACAACCTATCGTACTTGTATTTTATACAATATTATTTCCAAAACATCTCGATATATAAAGTTTATTATTTTATGTATTAGTAGTGCTAATTTATTCAACCGATGCGAGCTCGAGATACTCACTGATACCCTCCAAACGCTTGACGCTGCGGCTGGTAGCCAGGTAGAAGACTCTCAAGTAATAAAATATGAATCCGATGATCACGGTGGGTATCAATAACCAAGGACTCGCGATGGAGACCACGATGATAATACCGAGCAACGCCAGGCCAATTTGGATGCAGTCAATTAGGGCAATAGGCAACAACTCGTCCACCGCACCCATGTCTTTGGAAAAGCGATTTAATACACGTCCTGACGTGTTGGTGTTGAAGAAGCGCATAGTGGCGCGACTGATGCAGCGAAACATATTGTCGTGAAGTCGTCTGGAAGCTCGCATGCATGCCCAGAAGAAGGAGAACGAACGGATGAGGGTTATAACGATAGTCAATACAGTCACACCGGTGTAGATGTAGATGTAAGCATCTCGAGAGAGAGTACTGTTCGGATCGACCACCACCGTGCCGTTGGCTGTTTTGTTCACCTGCGCAATTAATCGCGTTGTTGAGCGAGTTTTGAATAAAGTCGCAGACTTAGAGCTGAGCTATGACATCTATGTGCCTGCGAGCGTATTTCATACTTACATGTATCTCTTCGAAGTCAACCCAGCGCGCGAGGAAGAAGTCCCCGCCGCTGGCAGCGGCTTGCGCCAAGATACAGAGCATAGCCACAGTAATTATGAAGCACCAATTGCCACCAGCGTGGAAGTAATCTGCGTAAACTTTACGAGAAATAGTGCCAACTGTACGCGTCTCGGCCACCTACATGATTTCCATTTCGATATTAATTTTACTCATGATTAATAATCGAAATTACTTGAACCGAATCAATCCGTAAATTGATGGAATTAAATAGACGAAATTAATTGATTAGATCTAAGTAACTGACACTTGACTCAAGTAGCATTAGCTTATTTATTATTAGATATCTCGATATATCTTTGTATGTATGTCTTCTTACCTCGTCTGGTTCTTGCTTAGAAGTATCGTTCGTCATAAATGAACTGAGCGAGGTAATACTGGCGTTACGTGAGTTGCTACGACTAACCGGAGCCGAAGCAGACTGCTCTTCCACCTGAGTTTGAGTCTCCAACAGTCGACCGAAATCCACTCCCATGGAACCCAATTCATCGTACGTTCTGATGAACAAAAAAAGATATTCTTCATGGCGAAAAAATGTAATACTCTGGATATATCTTTAATTGTTCTATTCGACTAAATATCGTTCTCCGTGTAATATTTTAAAAATTTATATTACTAAGGCAAAGAGAATTTTTAAAGATAAAGAAAAGAGGAAATATCAGAACTACACACCCTTCAGCCTGAATAGCCCCATCCTTCAACACGATAATCCTGCCGACATTTCGCAAATATTGCAACTGATGAGTCACCAAGATTCGAGTTTTTCCTTGTAGATACTTATCGATGCACTCCTCAAACATGTGCTTGCCCACGTGAGCATCTACGGCGCTTAAAGGATCATCTAAAAGATATATGTCGGATTCGGCATACACAGCTCTCGCTAAATTAATCCTGGGGAAAATATTAATATTTTATTAATGTGCAATTATCAATAATACAATTCAAATGAACAATCAATCGATCCTTCATATACTCGAATCTTTCATATCTTCATAGCTCTATTCATGTTTTCTCTCTACATACTCTTCATTTCGCAGAAACTTGTAAACTCTTTCAAGAATTCGTGACTTTGTTTAACACGTTCATTGCCGTTCACGCGATATCGTGTAATTGCTAACGATTTTCTATGCGGGATAGAATAACGAAACGGCGCGTGATGTTTACATAGGCCACTGGGGAAGGGATTGAACTCTCGTGGAGGGAGGATGGCCTCCAGCCATCGTCTGTTGAAAAAAAAAAAGAAAAAATAACTTTGGCCACTACACGAAATTCAAATTTTCAGTTTGGCAATGAATGTGTTAAGTTGTACCTGAGACAATCGTCTCGCTCGCGTGATCTTTTCACATGATATTTATCGCTGAAGAACACACCAAGTTCTCAAGATATGGTTATAAAAAAAAAGAAAAGGTACATTGAACAGGCACTGTTAAACAGAACGCTTATCAAAGTATGCGATCATAGAAAGAAGACACTGTTTGCCTGCTGAAGCATGACGATAAGATAATTCTGCATAGTGACACGCGCGTGTATGTGCGAGAATGAAAGAGAGAGAAGAAAGAAAGCAGGTGAACATCAGCTAGATATCTAAGTAAGAACACGATCAAATAACCCCTTAGAACTACATCATGTGCGATAGACTAGTGATGAGTAAGTAATTAAAAGTAATCAAAACAAAAAGAAATCTCTCTCAGCTAGTTCTTCAGCTGAGTCGATGATATTAGTTTTTCGATCTACTGAGATTAACGAACAGATGAAATTTCTAATAATTCTTCGCACCTTGTATAGAATTAACACGCGTGTTCGCAACGAGTTTGTAGCCACGAAGCGGAAGAGATGCGCAAATAATAAACGAGATAAAACAACAAAAGATTTGGAGATCAAATCTTTACACACGTGGAGCATATTATATATTCAAGGTGAAGATCTCGATAAACTTCGCGTGCGTGTCTGGAATTTTTTATCGAGAGAAGCACGAGAGACCAACCTTGCACGCTGGCCGCCAGAGAGACTGATACCTCTCTCGCCTACGATGGTCTTGTCGCCGTACGGCAACAAACTGAAGTCTCTCTTTAACTGGCACACTTTGATCACGCGGTCGTATCGAAACTGATCCATCTTACGGCCGAACAGGATATTCTGTCTCACCGATCCGGCGAACAGCCAAGGTTCTTGGCTAGCGTAAGCGACACTATTGTTCACCTAGGAAAAGAAAGGATATTTTGTGATACACCAATAAAATTAGCAGAAGCAACTCTACTAAAGACTCGCTTCTGGAAACTTTTAAAGCTCTAAAGGTTCCTAAGTTTTTTCTTTTTCTAAAGATAAGAGTAAAGTTCAATGGTTTATCTAAAATTTTATACATTTGGTGTGTACATTTTTAAACAGAGGTTTAAATAAATAATAGATAGATTTTAATATATTTCAAATGGACTCAAATAGAGTTGAAAAATAACGCGCACGTACCTTAATGGTGCCAGTGTGTAGGGGCAACTCCTTCAGGATAACGTTCATCAGGCTGCTCTTGCCCGAACCGACTTGACCGACGACGGCGATCAGTTCGCCGGGTCGCATTTTGATAGTGATATTCTGCAGAGTGTCCTCCTTTTCGTGATCCAGCCACTTGGCACTGGCGTTCTCGATAGAGATGATATATTCATTCCGATCGCCGCGACCCGCGTGATCACCTTGATCATATTGCACTTGCTGATCGTCTTTCTCCTGGTTGACCTTCTTCTTCTCTTTCGCGTTCCCCGTGATATCTACCTGCATGATGTCCTTTGAGTCTTTCTTTCCGTTGATCATGGACTCAGATTTACTCGTGTGGTCGATCTCGTCGTACATCATGAATTTCTGTAGACGTCTGATGGACACCATAGCTTCCGCCGTCTGCGTTATTCCTAATTTGCAGGACGAAGAAAATGTAAAACCCATCTTGATAATTCATTTGGGATTCTCAACAATATCAATTGACACTCATGCGATGGTGAGTTAATTCTTGCGACGAATGGAAAAGGGAAGAAAAAAATAAACAGATAAAAAGTAAAGATATAAACTAGCAGAAGTAAAAGGTAGAGAAAGATTAAAAGGAAACGGAGAAAATCGAGATGGAGAACAAGAGACCGAAAATCAGTGCGAGAAATACCTTGCGGGAAGAAGACAGTCATCGTTGTACGTAGAATATTGTAGTAGGCGGTCACCATGAAGACTTTCTCGGCCGTTATCTTGTTGTCAAACAACACGTAAACCAATACTGTGATGAAGAGTGACATTCTCGTGGTGAAGATGATAAACGACATCGTTACACCCCGAATATACGATGTCGCTCTGATGACGTTGATTTCTTTCCTGCAAACAAATTTCACCGTATTTACGTTCCTTCTTTTTTTTTTCTTTATTTCATTCGTTCTTCTCTTTTCTTTCTGTCTCTTTTCTTCTCCCTCTCTTTCTTCCCCTTACGAATTCTTTGTTTGTTCATTCTTCGAGCCGGAAAACCACACGGGCGCTCGTATATTTCCTTTAAGCGGCCAATGTTTTATTAAACACCCACCTGATCCAATGAAGCGTTCGGTCGATACGAAAATACGGAGTAGTCGAAATAAAACCGTACTGTACACCGTGTGTACAGATATTTCGGATAAGTGTGCATGGATATTTAATATAGAGCTTGCGAGCTGCGGTTAGATATTAATTTACATGTCGATTAAATGGCGTCGCGCGCGTGAAAATTGTTTCAACGTATCGAGGTAGATAATTCACTTGCGATGTAATCTACTCGCGTCAGAGTTCGTTAAACTTTGAGCAGGTAATTGAAGGAATTTGATGTCGAGAACTAGAAAGATTTTCGAAAATGTTTTAGAATTTCAAAAGTTATTGTTATGCTTATATGTATATATATGTGTGTGTATAGAAAAAGAAAGAGAGAGAGAGAGAGAGAGAAAATATTTTAAAATATAAAATATAAATTTATCTGATATATTTGAATTGATAATTATATGTAAATAATATACTTAGAAGCAAGAGATGTGTTTGAAGAGAGAGAAAGGAAGAAAGCGAATTTATCACGAAATTCTCAATAAAAACGCACAAGTTCTTGATACTTCTTGAAGTAACATAAAAATATGATAGTGCAACGATAAAATATTGATAAATGCGGAATGTTCTATTTGAACGACAAGGCCGTTGATTATCATCTTGTCCAACGATATTATTATCATTTTATCAACGACTCGACTTCAATCGATGAATATATTTCAAGGAATGAGCGCAAAGCATATATTGCAGATATTTGTGAAGTTTACAAACGAAAGCCAAAATCGAGCTACAGTGTCATAACGACGACCGCCTTATGTAAAAACTAACAGTGTTCAAGTCAAGACAAAAATTGAACAAAACGCGTGGGAACCAATTGAAATTTCTACCGTCCGTCGCACAGTAGGCAATTAACGTTAATGTCGTAATTGCGACACGAACATCATTTCATTTAAAGACACGATTTAATCGCTATGAAGCTGCCGTGTATTTTGCAATGTTTCTTTTTCTATTCCTGTCGACGAAGGCTCGTCTTCTGCTCACGTGACTGATATAAGTATTACTTACGTAATCTACGTAAGTGCAGTACTCACTTTCTCGCCATTTCGATAAGCGCGCTGAATGGCTTCTCCCAGGTGTACATTTTAATAGCTTGAATTCCACTAATAATCTCATTCGTCAGTCGCACTCTTTCGTCAGTCCTAATGGCGGTTTTAAATCTCAGAACCGATGACTTCTTTCCCAACCACCCTGCGAATTTTCCAGATCCAGGATGTGAGATAATAAATTGCCGGTCGGCGATATTTAGCGATTCGCTTAGTAATACGCGTTAAGTAACGGCAAGCTCCTCACGGTAAATAAAGACACGAATTTAAAATAGAGTCTTGAAATAAGAATTTGAGAAATATAGAATCTAAAACATAACATTCAAATCTTACAAACTTGGCGATTTTTTGAGATTCAGCAATTTCGAAGATCTCTACGATAACTCGAAAGTTCCAACAAGTTCAAAACTGAAGAAGATCTCGACTTTCGAGGAGTAGATATTAAACGTTTCTTGCGGCACGTCCCTGCCGGGATTCAATCTCTCTCAATTATCCCTCGCGAAGACAACCATTGTATTGAGCCATACTTTCAGTCTCTCGCTCAATCACAACGAGATGCCGCGAGCCTTGACTTCTTCTCCTCCTTCTCAACTTCGCAACCGGCACGTCGCGTCTCTTACCTTGCAATGGTATGAACAATAACAGAACCGCCACGCCGATGAGCGAGGAGATCTCAACTTCCATGTACATGAAGTACGTGAGGACGATGGTCTCCAGGGGCCCAATCCAAAGATAATGCAGGAATATAATGGCCACGTCAAACCTGCTCACGTCGTTCGACAGGAGATTCACCGCTTGGCCGATCGTGGTCTCGCCCAACGCGGTCCTCGTGAGCTTCAACGACTTGCGATAGATGAGCGAGCAGCAGGCCACGCGGATCTTCATGCCCATGTGCAAAATGGCCATCATGTAGGGATGGATGACGAACACGTTGACGGCGGAGCACAGGATCACGCCGGCGGCGTATATGTAGGCGTCCGTCGAGTCTATCTCCTTGGTATTGAAGTACCGCAACAGTCGACCGAGGCACAGTGGCTGCAACACTCTGGAAAAACACGGGAAAAACGACTATGAACTGAGAAACGAGTTCTTTTTTGTTGTTCTTTTTTTTCTCTTTTTCTCGGAAAGGTCAAAATTCCTCACGAATGACCAACGTCGCGTGATGGCCGCTGATGAAGCGCGATACTGTGCGAACGCAATTTTTGTCTTGGACATTATTGCCGGATGGACAAGAAGTAAATCAACGTTATTATTATTTATTAATATTATTAATGTTATTCGCGCCACCAGTCACGAGCATGTGTTAACATCGACGGACCAAAGAGAGCTGCTCGTCCGCGCAGTTCGCGCGGCGCATCCGTCTTATAATACAGGTATGTAATTGGGTACGTACCTAAGTGAAATCTCCATGGCGGCCAATATTATGCCATAAAGCGCGATCTTGAGGCCGAAACACCTGATGATAACTTTCAACAGGCTGGGCTGCGCTCCCTTGCCCCGACGTTGCGCCGCCTTGCATTCTTCCTCCCAGACGTCCGCTAATTTAACACCAAGAATACCACTTGTATGTTCGTTAAGCGGTTTGTACAAATCAGTTACTTCAAGATCTCTGCGGTAACCCACCCAGAAAGTGCGTAGGATCCAACTGCGAAGAAGCAAACCACACGTTTTTCTTCTCTCTCCCTCTCCCTCTCTCTCTTTCCTTTCATTTTTGTTTTTTTTTTTTCGTTTTCTTTCACTCGCACGAACTGTCCGCAATCTCGCCCGCCGGAAATTCTTTTCGCGTCTCTCCCTGCTTTTGTTCTCTCTTTTTTGTTTTCTAAAACGTTGCTCCTACAGCGTATCTCGCTACTATATACCTGCGCGCAGAGCCCTAAGCTATTATTATTTCCTGTATTACGTAACGTGAGACCATCTCTCGAGCCCTTCCTCAGATTAGTTTCAAGTTCGTGGTTGAAGCACAGCCCGAGAGAATAGAGCTTAAGGGTAATTTTTACAAAACTCGACTTCCATCAAGCATATAAGCATCGTCGAGTAAACATATTTTTTTCATTATCTTAATTAGTAGATACGTATCAATGTGAGATAAAAATAAAATAATTAAATTAATATAACAACGAGCTGTGCAACACTATAATGATGTTTGCGGTAAAATATCGAATTGGTGCTTGTCTTCAAATTTGCGGTAAAATATCGAATTAGTGCTTATCTTTAAACTCGCGAATAAACCACAATTTTGGCAAAAAAAAAGAAACCTTGAGAACGATTTCCTTGATTTTTACAAAAACTGTTCTCAATCCACTCCAGAAAAGTGGCGATTTTTTCCTCCCAAGATAAATCGGCTATCGAATATCGCCGACTGCAAAAAATTAATTATCGTTAAGAAATTAAGTCGTAATTTAACTCGCGCGCAAATCACGATTTGCCATCCGTGTACATATCCGTATACAATCAAATAATCGCGTCAAATTGCGCGTATATACACGCTTAAACACACTATTGTTTGTCAATACACAAGTAATGATGCATCGATGCAAACGCTATGTGTACAATGTCCAAGTAGTCCAAGGTGGTTCCCTGAGCATTTTTTATTCATCGCTTATCTCGTCGCTGTTCGATGCAGAGAGATAATTCGCATACTTCACTTCAGGACGATATAATATTTATTGCTATTACTAACTTAAGGTGAACACGAATGGGAGAAAACAGGTAAGCGCGCATAAGTAAACCCGATGTTGCGCCCGTTTTATCTCGTTGTTTGCGCGGCTATTGTGCCGGCTGTTTAATCTCGGAAAATAACTGGATATTCCGCGAAAATATGACCCGGTTCGTCGAAGCGCGAGATAATACTAATTCCCTCGTAATTAAAAGCATCTTCCACGGATTAACGTAATCCTCAACTCACACAGTATTCGACTGTGCACGCGATTTGCTGGGAGAAAAGAGTCTCGGTGAAGTCTCGAGTACTCCGAAGAAATCATGATAACAGCAAGATGACCGAGAAAATGATCGAAATATGAGAGGAAAGTGAATTTTACAGTCATTTTATTTATTTTATAGTCATTTTATTTTATAGCCATTTATTGTGATAATTTGCAGTTTTTACAGTCATTTACTCGTCGCTTTGACGTCGCCGTAATTTTCTGTTCCATATAAAAGACTATCAAGCGTGCAGTAGTGACAGATTTTTCCAAAGTCAATCACTATACTGACGACACGATTGCGACAATGATTTAAATTTTCGAAATATGCACTCGTAAACATTCGCCCCAGTAAGCAGGAGGTGAAGAAAGAGGAGAAGGAGAACACATCGATTTCTTTGTCGTCCTCCCGAAGACGTCTGAAAATGGTCTGTCTCATGTTATATAAGACGGAAAATAATAACTTGAAAACACGAGTGACAACTCTCGGCAGAAGCTCATTAAAAAGAGGAGAGATCGATCGTAGTATTTTCAAAAATGAAACTGCTTTCTATAATTTTTATGGAACAAGTTCTTCACGTCCCCCGATATACACGTTAAGTATGTACAGCTGTATCTTCATCTGTTGATTTTCGATCGAAGGTAAACCGAAAAGATCACTCATCGAGAAGCGCAGAAAAATATAAATGAGATAATATTTATGATCGACACGTTGCGCACCGCCTAATTAATTCTCACGTATTTATATCTCTACAATGACTTCGCGTTTGTATCATCTCGAAATAGCTTCTAATGAATCGATTCTCTCTCTCTCTCTCTCTCTCTCTCTCTCTCTCTCTCTCTCTCTCCCTTTGCTGGTCTCTCTAATCTCTAAGAACTCTAAGATCGCGCGGAGTCTTCGTTTCTTCTGGAGTACTCCTCTACAGTTTCTTTTATCTTGAAAAATGTCCTTCATCGTTCTACGATTCGTGGAATAATAATCGGAAACGTCTCTTACTTCTTACTTACCTGAACGTCAAAGCGCTGAGGAAATTGGCGCCTTTCCTGGGATTCTTCACCCTCTCGGCGTGCACTTTCCCATCCATCACGACGCGACAATGCAGATCTCTCACTCTTCTGCAAGAACACAACAGATTTCTGTGTAAATTTTTGCGTATCCCTATGCGCGCACATACACGCGCGCACGTTCATACACGTACACGCATTACGCAACGCACACACGCGCGTGCCCGCGAACACACGTGTGTACACAAAAAACACTCCCGAGCATGCCGCGAAATTAAGTACAAATCGGCAGGATGTTTACTCAAGTAGGTTCTCCGTTGCGCGAGAGTGCTCGGAGAGGAGCGAGAGAATAAAAGGAGAGGACAAGGAGTATGCGTGTCGTAATCCACGTGAATCGTGACGCAGCTGTCGCGCCGATTACGACCTGCTTCTTTCTCCTTCGTCATTCCACTGTCCTCTCCTCCATATTCGTCGAAGGTAGCAGGTACGATGAGAATTTCACAGAGACCCCCTCGCAACTCCTGCGCGCGATCTATCCGTATCTTATCATCGACGTGATTCGGCTAAAAGCGCGAATAGCCGATCGTCCCGGGAGGGAACATTGCATGGGGGTCAAGTATGGATCACAATTTACGTTTTGCCTATCAGTGTGAATATTGCTATCAAACTCCACATACTCGGGTATCTAAAGTGCTCTCTTGAGTTCCTAGATGTTTGCTAAATCTTTCGCAGGGAGAAAATTCTGCGAGAAAAATTATATTAAAATATACATTCCTTTTTACAATAATTGTCGCCCAAGCTGCAGCTATACTGATAAATTAGATTGCTACAATAAATGGTAAATTTGATGAACCATCACAAGATATATGAGATACACATTATTGTACGTTTGAAATCTATTACACGCGAAAAGTTTGTGTGTACGGGTGTGTAAGTCAATAAATATAATACAATATGAAATATAATATCCCATTAATAATAATGAAAATGAACACATGAAATATCGGCGAAACAATTCAATTTATACATTGCGTCCGTTGCTACGTCCCAAGTGCGTTTCTTTCATCTCAGTCTTATGAAGAATATATTATGAAGCAATTACCGAATACGGAGAAACTTGACCACCGAGCGTAAACACCGAGCGCACAGCACACCAGCACTAACAGAATGCACGTCACACCACACTGTGTGTCCCGATCCGACGTTCCTATTCCTGCCTCAGACGGAGCAGCAGCATGTCGTCTCACTGCTGTGTCCCACGAGACTCGTGGTACATGCGTGTATGTACGCAGTTTAATATGGGCTGTTATCAGCGCGCGCGACACGCGCTCCTCGAGCGCGCGATAATCACTCCCGAATCATTTTCGTAATATTGCGGCATCGACACTGCATTCGTCGTATCACAGCGCGCCGTTATGCCTCATTACGAGATTCGTCGCAACATCAATTTCGAAAGATTTTCGAAGGCGATATCCATTGCTTTTCTACGCACCATTGAGCGTTAGGTTAATGCCTTATCATTAAAATGTCTCGCGATATCCTTTTCTCCCTCCTTCGTTCTCCGATGCCTTTCCAAATGTCGGTACACTTTTTATCATCATATCTCTCTCTCTCTCTCTCTCTCTCTCTCTCTCTCTCTCTCTCTCTCTCTCTCTCTCTCTCTCTCTCTCTCTCTCTCTCTGTGAGCATTTTATTTTTCCCGTCAACATTCCATCTCAGCGGTATGGGGTAATTCATTTCATAATTATGAGTACAAATGCGTTCGAGTGACGTAATTCCTTCCACATGAATGTCTCTTATTCAAACCGCAAGCGCGTTTGGGTGAAAGCTGATATTTAGATTATAAATGTTTTACCGTCAGCTGCAGAAAGATCTCAATTACACTCCAATGTCGGGTGTAAAGTGAAAATTGTGTGTAAAATTGAGTTGCGCGAAAATAACGTGAAATAGCCGCGTTAAAATCAAATGCCGGACTATAATTTATGGAAATTTACTATTTTTCCAATAATCAGATAAAATACCACGAGCTATTTCGTATCTTCAGACTTTGAATTAGGAATGGAAATCGATTTTATCTGTTTCTAGCACGGAGTGACAAGAAAGACAGGGAGAAAGAGAACGTAAGCTCAACGGTTTTTCATTTTTTCTTTAATGAAACGAGCTTATGATTAAGATATCAAACAAACGACATCTGCTAAAGTATGAACGTAATCATTTGTATGATAAATCGACGTTAAATTTAATGATAGATAAACTGAACAGACACTTGTCGGGCATATATTTAAACGTACATGCAAATCAGAAGAAAACATCCGAGCGAATTCATTATATAGTCGCAAAGTTATCCAATCATACTATGTGTGCTAATTGAGAACTCGTGGAGAAATCTTGCTTGCAAATCTATATATATAATCTATATACATAATCTATATACATAAATGCTACGTAATGTCATTTGTGTAAAAAGATGCGAAGAAAGAGTAATTAATAGTCGTACATAGATATATGTGGAAATGGTAATTTCTCTAAATGGGAAATCCATGGCTTAAGTTAAGAAGTTATTAGCAAATAGTAAAAGAAAGTCTAATTTGCTTAAATGGATATCCAGAATGCACCTTACGGTACCGTCAATACTATGAAAAAAAAAAAATCTTTTTTTCATTTTGATTACTTTCGATATTACATTCTGTAATTTGTAATTAGTGACGAGCAAATTCTGCTCGCACAAATGGGACTTCTGAATCAATATGAATAATCAATGAGACCGTTATTAACGATTCTCAAGGCTAACAAAAAAAGATAAGGGCAAACAATACGCATGCGAAACTTTATTTCCGAAAGGAGACATCCTTCGAAATCTTGAATTTGGAAATCTTGCGAATTCGGATCGGATTCGAGTAAGCGAATTGTTCTCGTTGCTTTAGGATTTACAATTAACGTCAATCATCAACGATAGCTGTTGTACTTAGCTTGACTTTATAATATCTCTCAAGAATAATACGCAAACGCGCTTATCATAGATAAGATTAGATGTTCATAAGAAATCAGTGAAGGTATCCACGTCTGTGAAATTTTCCAATTCTTTTACAATTAATTTTCATCGAAATGTTCAATTCGCGCTCATTCCTCGATAATGCGCATACTGTATTTTTGTATACCGAATCGCGAAAGTAAAATTACGCAATCATTCGATGATCGTGTGAGATTCGTGAATCGCGTGAAACAAAATTCGACCCAGCTTGCCTCAATGATGTCACCAATAGTTATATAACAAATTAAGCAGGATGCGTACGTAACCGATACTGTTCCTCGAAATCTGTATTTTATCGTGCACAAAAGGATCATCGTTTTCCTTTTCCAGTGTACCGTCGGTCGTAGGACCAATGTCCCATATCGATCAATTGTTGATACCGATACTAAAAGTGATAATATTCGACTTCCGCTTCCCGCTTTTTGACCTTATTTTCAAGGTGCCCCGTTATCTCGCTCTATCACACTTCTTACACGCGGATGTTTAACAATAAACATCTTTAAAAAGAAAAAGGGATATATATATGTGCGTATATCTATATGTTTTTTATACGTACATCATATATATGTACACATATATAAGAAAACTCTGGAGTATTAAGTCCACTTCTCTTAAAATAGCATTATCAGTCACGCAGTTTTAATCAGTAATCAGTAACGCGATCAAGATTCTCTTCGATTCGGGCTTTTTTTACTTGAACATGGAACGGCGTAGTCGACTGCATTTAGAATGTATTACATCATATTACCATAAACGACATTAAGCAAACAAATCGCAGAAAAGCAGCTGGTTTGACCAGGGACGATCGAATAGTAAGCAGTAAGCGCGGTACGATGAAAGCCTTGAGGACAAAGTCCTCGAAAAGCTTCGTTGAAAATTACGTCGTATGTCATCTTAGAAGTTCGTTTACACATTCGACGGGAATTTTATCTGTGTGGAAATAACCGGCCGCCGAGTAAAAGCCAAAGTATTCACCAATGCGAACTCTTCTTCGCAATTTCTTTAATCGTTAATTTGCGAAATGTCAATATATTTCCGAGAAACAACGATTGAATGGACATATTAACCAGCGATTTATAACATACTGATATATATAAAATGGGGCGTAACTGATGAATACCTACACATGCGAAAAGGATACTATTATTGTCACTCTAGAGATAACGAATCGATACGATCTCTGTGATTTTTGCCATCGATTTTTGAAAGCCTTGTTACGAAAGCAACGATTATAGCGTTACTAACGAGAAAATAAATAAATAAGTAAATAAAAATAACGTCTTTAAAAATCTGAGAGAGATAGTTTATACAACGGCAACGGTCTTGCAATTAACATGTTATTTTGCAATTTTAATTTAAATTATATAACTACCAATATTTATAAATATTTATACAAACAATAGAACAAATAATAATGGGACACATTAGCCACGATTCGGTCGTACGAGTACGACGAACCGACGAATCTTTCGAAACGAAACATCTCACGAAAAAGAGAAAGATCTTATTTCTTGCATTTTTCATTCATTATCTCTCGAAAAATCAAAGCACTTTTCGGATGCGTCGGGGGGAATTACATTCTATAAATGCGCTCTAACGGCTTTTAAAGCATTTTTACTAATTACGATGAGTCGTAAAGTTTAAAGGAGATAACGGCCGAATAGGGAAAAGTAACTTAGTGATAAGCGGCAGAGCGACGAACGAATTTAACGATCAAGCAAAATTTCGATGACATGCGTGCAATAAAAATCTAGAAAAGGAACACTCGCGTATAAACGGGCGCGAAATCGTGCAAAGAATTTAATATAACGTTTTCAGGAAGCAACACTTAATGCGTCTAATATTGTAAGAAGTACGAGCATACACTCATACTGCTTTTTTCTCTGTTTCGCGTTTGCGGTGCGGTGCTATAAAAACCGCTAGAAAAACATTCTCGCTTGATAATGTTTCTCGCTTGAAATATCTTGCGCATCCGATACGGAGAAACACCTTTTTGTTGCATGATCATTATATGAGACGTTTTTCTCACAATCTGACACTTTCTTCGGTTTGGACCGAAAAATATTGAACAATTGTTTAC